TTAGTCATTTTTTTTATCGTCTGTTTCTTGATTCGCTAAAAACCTGACTACGATACTGTTGATCGAAAGTATTATTTTGCATACAGGATAGCTGGAGACTTATACACAGTATCTATTAGCTCTGAAATATTTTGAAAACTCGCGCGTGGAAACTCCTGTTTGCAACGTCCACAATTTCTTCCCAATGGTCGAGGCTGTTTTTCCAAAAAACGAGTACGAAGCTGAAGTTTTCCCGAAAAAAATAAAATCGCGTATAACAGAATCCCCGTTGGTTAAAACCGTGTATTGGCAGGGTCAGGTGTATACAGAGGACGAGGGGCAAAGTGGTACGACCGGGCGGCGATTTTACATGCAAAAACAAGTCGAAAAAAAGAGAGCAATATTTTTCTCGCTCGAAATTTCGTTCCGGGAGATAATTGAATTTGGAAATTTGTCGGACACGCGCGCGATTGAATACCATTTCCCCGCCGCGGCTGACCATTAATCACTCTTTCTACTTGCGCGAACGTCCCCCGGCAGATCCCCGAAAAAAATATAATTCCATTCCCACGTTCGCGCCTGTAAATTTTTCTTAAATACAATTTCCCGTATTCCGGGACGGGGATTACCCCGGTACGCCCGCGGCGAATTCGATAATAAATATGATGGATGAATTGCACGTGTACTCTTCGAAATCTCAATTAGCGACAGCGGGCAGCTTCGACGCTTCCCAATATTTTCCGTCGTCCCAAAGAATTTCCAATAAGGCCAAGTATGGACATATTGTATCGAGGAGGAACCGTAATGTCTTTGCAACCGAAACGAAACCACTGGATGAAGATGGACGGACGGGACGTTGGATAGCGGATGTTGTTCTTTCGTTTATCCGAGTTTAGGGAAATTTTATTAAAACTCCGGACTAGGCTGACAAGTCGATCTAAAATTTGCTATTCGAGAAAGTATTTTGACAGCTCTGTTACTAATCACGATTTTTCCGAATGGGGGAATTTCCTCGTGGAAACAGGTCACGTGGACGAGGAGGTACGGATTACCCGGTATTTGAACGGAGGTTGGTTAGAATTCACTGGTTTCACTTTGGTTTGAATTTCTGGTTTGTCCCCTACGGTGCTTCCAATCGAATTGGAGGAGAATGAGGCAGAAGCGGATACGATCTTGGACGGTCGCCGTGACTCGAAACGCTACGACTTTCGATGAAGCTCATTGTTCACTTACCAGATCTATCGTCCATTTTCTGCGTAATCGCTACTTTCCATTCGCAATTTACATTAATTCCGAAAAGAATATCGGTACATATATTTCTCGTATTAACCCCTTAACGCTCATATTTTTCGGGTTAACCAAGAATGATCAGTTTTCTTTATTGGATTTGTTTCTAAAACTGCGGTTTTTGTTAATTACAATGTTGTATCCAACGTATAATTTGAAGGAAAACAAGTATTATCAACCCTTAAACCATTAGACTAAACAAATATCGTTTCTCGAAGCAGTCAGACTCGGGCATGAACGTTAAGGGGTTAAGATCTTTTCTGCCTGAATTTCCGTCCATCCAAAGAAAGGACGCTCTATTAGCGATCGATGAAACAGTCGTTTCGATTGAAATCGTAGGAGACGATCGAAGAAATTTGACTGATTGGGGAAACGGTGGTCCTGGACGAGAAGAAGGGAAAAAAATTGTTTCCAACAATGGTCGGGATTTTCCCCGAGCAGATGCTTTCCGTTCCGGTCTTCTATTTACAAAATTGTTCCCGCGAGTGGAAACGATCGCCGGGCTCGCTCGACGAGGCGGGCTTCGAACTCTTTTCTATCGAATTTCTATCGAACGGTAGGACGTCCGCGCGGAGTTACGTGACACGTATCGAACATCGTTGCTCCCGATGTACCGCGAGACATCGATCCGGTGTAAACACACTGTCCGCCGATATAGAATCACCATTGTGCTCTTTTCCTCTGTCACCTCTGACGCTTTTACGCGCGCTCGTTCCCATTAGTCCAGAGAAACTCTCCTGTCTCCGCGTTTCGTCCACGATCTCTCCGTGAAGCGCTTTTAATTTGTTCGTACCTCGGTTAACCCTCGAAAGCTCGACCCACGGACTCCGATGCACCATCCACGTTCCTTACTTTTCGCGAAAAATCACGGTAACGTCTTTCTTTTTTATTCTCCTTCCCCGATACCCCCTAGAAAAAAGGAGATTCTTAGCTCCGTTTAGTTCGTAATATTTTTCGAGATCGGTAGACGATGCAAGAAATTTATATATTTCAAAGCATCGAATCGACGAGGAAAACTGAATTCACGTGTGCGATTTGCACATCGGAATTACTCATGAATTATTTATAAATTTTCGATGTTGGTAAGATTTCGACGCAAATGCTCGTAGACATCAATCACGCCTACGATGTTCGCGTTAAAAGCAGGAGAATTGCTAACAGTGTCCCAAATATGCTGCACTTTCTCTAATTGTACGATTCTTCTGGTCCGACGAGGCTTGAGAGCAAAGGGTTTTATATAGGTCCCAAAACGAGGGGTAGGGAGGGAGACGCGCCAAGGATTTCCATGCAAGAAGATATTTAGGCGCGTTTGTTACGTGCCGGTTGCATCCCGTGAGAACCGACTCCTTGCATTCCGTGGGGGGTAGATTAGAGTAATGGTTTTTTAAGCGTTTCCTCCGCGAGCGCGAGCTTGAAACTGTTCGAGGAACCGAAAAATTATTCACCGTTCGTAACAGTGTACAGAGCGAGTCTACCAACCAAACTATAACTCTGTTTCAATGGAAGGCAGAAAAAAAAAAAAGGAACAAAAAAAAATATAGCGGTACATTTAGCGCAGCGCGGTGCAATTTTTCCCAGAGACGCATCGATGCAGTTACTTTTTCTGACGTTACAAAACCGTTTGAACGGTGCAATATTAAAACGCGAAATGGGATATCAATAATGAATTACATCATATATTATGAAATCAGTCTTGAATCACTGTTTAATTCATAACTGGGAAAATATCCATACCTGGCTTTAGCTTTCCCGTCATAAGCCGATGTGCGTTGGAATATAGGGCAATAGCTTGCTTCGATCCTATTTGGAAAACACAAAGTCGCTTTTCGTTCAGAAAAATTCTCCGAGCGTCTCTAACATTAGAATATCATAAAAATGATATCGGTATATGTAAGTAAACGAATCCGTTCGAGAAAAAAGTTTCTTTAATCGGCCACGTAAGAAACGGCAAATGCTTTCCCGGCCACCTAATATATTTCGCGTTACTGCCCCATAAATTTCATTTAATTGCCCGTTATTGACTCTTTTTTTGCCAGATGCCGCGGGAGTGGGCTTTCGAGCAGTTTCAGGTCGGATTCAGGTTAGCTTTAATGAAACTTTTTAACAAGCTTAGCTCTCCAGCGTTAAACACTTGGCGCGTTGTTCGATGAAGAAATCGTCGCACGTACGTACCCGCGGAACGACCAGCAATTTTCCAAAAAGCATCGGGACTTCTTGCGCTTGTTTTTTTTTCCCCCCCTTCCGCTGTAACAAACTGTGCAAACCGAGCGTATCGCGAAAGTTCTTGCGCCGTGGATAGAAATGGTCGAGCCAGTTCGCCACCGAGTTCATAACGATTTCGTTTTGGCGGCGTTACAAGCGTTATCGACGAGATATTTCCGTGTACATCGTACGGTCTCCGTGCCTTATCAATCGATTCGCGAGACTAATTACCAGCCAATTAAGCGATCCGCGGCGTCCACGGAATTTCCGTAATAGGAACGATTACACCGGCTCTCGAGCGTTCCCCGCGATGAAACAACCACCGAACTTTGACTTCGCGGGGGCCAATCGTGGCCCGTGATTGGCTCGTCGACTTCAACGGCAGACAGTGAAACGCTTGTCAGTCGACGAGGTTCCACTCGAAGGATTCCCTCGAAGCTGCGCCACGCGAGCACCATGAATGAACTTTTGCTAGTTGAATGTTCCGCTCGATGATGGCCTGTTCGCGACTTACGATGTAATACCTGACTTTATAAACGTCTGTCTATTGATTTACGTTTCGAACAAGAATTTCTTTTAAAACGGTACAGATAACTGTTCGATACAAAGAGTCAGTTCAATGAAGTATTCCTTCGGTTGGTGCAAGTCCATGAATAAAAATACATCAGGATCGAACCACTTTAAAAATGAGGTAAAGGTCTGTATAAAGGGAAGTAATTCGTTTGAGATCTATTACTTCAATGTAAAATGCGGTGGCGATTTTTTAGTCGCTTCAGCTCCTTGAGTATTTAGTCATTTTTGAGAGGCCCTATATAATAATTAATAACTCCGTAAGAAGGGATTGAACTTCGTGTCTGTGGCGCGCTCGAGCAATGCTTCGAGAGTACCTGCCTTTGCGGCAGTACCCTTTATAGGTATCAGTTCCACCAACTCTTCGATAATGTCTAAAGTTGAGCTACTTCGGGAACATACACCGCAAGCTGAGAGGTATCTTTTGTACCTGTACTGCTTCTTTCATCGAGCACTATTGAAAAGAACCGGAAATATTGATGGTAGCCTTTTACACAATTTTTCACGTGCACCGACGTTTCCTCCGCTCGACGCAATTATCTATTCAATTTCGTATTTTTGTCGCGTTCTTGTTATCAGTATCAAGTTGCACGATAGATCCGTTTCTACTAGACATTTCCACGGGGTAATAATTCAGAACATTTGGTCTTGGAACCAAGCACGTACCGCAGATTCGTCCAGTAAGTAGTAAGTAGTAATGGTCCGCGTTTGGTCAGACACTCGAGCCAGTCGCTTTGTACGATTGAAATTAGCTTCCCGGAGGTTGAAACTAATTTTTCAAAAATGCATAGTTTTGTCATTTCCAACGAAGATATAGTAATAATAGATGATATAAATGTCGATGGAATCTTTTATTCGGCAGAAGGGACGGTATACACGTGAGACGAGGTGCGGACAAACACAGGACGGGACAAGTGGGACGCATCTGTTCCGGAAGTAGATTCGTGTCGACGAACGGCTCATCACCTGTACCGTTTCGGCCTGGCCAGAAATTTCAGCCGACGGGAGCATTTGGCCTTTAACGCTTTCGGGGAGACCGTGAAAGCATCTTCTCTGACGTCGGTCTCTATCCCCGCTGGTCGTTCCAAAGGCTTCGCCAAGAGTATCGTCCTCGGGGAAGCTACGAAATTAAACACCCATGCATCCTGTCGCTTTAATGCCCGCCCCTTAAGGGGGACAAATGGTTCGAAAGAGAATTAATTCGCGGACCGGCAGTGGAAAAACGACCGTTTTGGATACCCCGGGACTCGGGTAATTGGCTAACGCAAAGAGTTAAGTCCGTAAACTTATCTCGCGGAGGCACCGCTGGCCTGCTAATGAGGAAATTTCGAACGGAATTTACATTTCCCGCGCGTCTGGGATCCGATCGAGAAATCCTCACTTATACGTACAGAATGGTCCATCGATTTCGCTGGAAACTACCCCAATTTTTTCATCCCCTATAATACTTAACAAGTCATTCTGTTAAACATTTTGGAAAGCTTCTCTTTTTAATCCAGACACGAAACGAGAATGGAAGTTTGTTTCGTATCGTCGAAATATCTTAAGAAAGTCAAAGTCCACGGTAATTAGCAGCGGGATCGGTCAATTATTTCTGGCGCGGTGCGGATTAATTACGGGGCCGCTGTGGTCGGTGAAACGACCGGTTCTCGTTCGTCCGCTTAATCGTGAAAAGCATCGTTTTAATTGCTGGTCGGCGTTTCACGGTTCGCGGGGCCCCACGAAACCGAAATCGAAAAGAAATTAAATCAATTCTGGAACTTTTCTTCGACTTTTGGCGAGCGTCGAACTTGCTCCCCCGAACGAGCGAATTTTTTTCACTCGTCTGTTTTCCTGTTGTAAGTTTCCTAAGCCCGCGCGATACCGGCGGTTCGAAAATCCGGCCCCGTAAACCGCAAATTTGGTAACTGGGTTGCGTCTGAATTAGGCTTGGTTTAGGTCGGGATTAGGGACGGGGGGAACTTGCGACTTTGTTACGTCGTTCGACACGGTATTTCATCGTATTCGATCAATTATCTATCCACGTTCGCGGTAGACTTTTGGACGATGTTCCCATTTTACGAAACTCCGAAACGAGTTTCGCGAGCGGGAGATAACGCATACGACTGTCTAGACTTCATCAATCCCCCGAATCCCCGCATTTATTTCGCCGTGGAACCGTCGCGGAAAAAGACGGGCCATCCTTTCTCGACGTTCTCGGTTGCAAAAAAATTCTCGATGACTCGGGATACCAGGTATACAGGAGACTCTGACGCACTGCGCGGAAGAACTCGGTAATCAGTTCCTTAATCAACGTAGCTATCGATGTCTGCGAGGAGGGACACCTCGACGAAGAACCGGAACGCGAAACTGCTGTTACGAAAGGAAAGTAGATCGATCACCGAAAGAGATAAAACAAACGAAACAGAGCGGCGCGCACAGGTGAAGACGGAAAAACTCTTGCTTTTCTTCCCGCTGTGTACCGTCGACCGCATCACCGGGATCCCCGGGAAACAAAACGTTAAAACAGTCTTCGCCGGGCGAACGAAAATTGGACAACTTCTCGTACAACCGCTGTAATCCACGAAGTACCTATCTCGCGCGAAAAAATATCGGTGGGACTGGAAAGGGTGCGAACAGTCGCGCCAAATTGGGCTACGTACGCTTAACCGTGGCGGAGCGGTTAATTAGTACACGCCACGATACATACTGTTTGATAAAATAACAGCAACGGTTTGAACTCGAGCAAATTTTCCGTTCAGCCACCCCTGGGGAAACATTTTAATGGGAGAAATCATTTTTCTAGAATGATTTGACATTTTTTAATCTTGTCGACAAATTTGTTCACCTGTTCGAATTTTTTTCTGGAAAGTGAGCAGGATTTCGAGGGTATGTCTATTCACCAAAAATGATCGTAATTGACCCCTGGAACCGAAAATAATTTTTTTAGAACGATTCGAAACTTTTCAATTTCGACGAATTTCAGGGGAATTTTCGTTAATGGTCAGACATTGTAGTTTCGGTAAAGAATTTTTTCCTCGTAAGTGCGTGGGATTTCGGGGGTATGTCTATTCACCAAAAATGATTGTAATTGACTCTTACAACCGAAAATAATTTTTTCGTGAATGATTTGAAATTTTTTAATAACTTTTTAACGAAGCCTCGATCGACAAATTGATATTCTCGATTTTCGTCTTATTTTGGTCTCTAAAATCTCCCATGAAGATTCTTTCCCATGGGTGGCCGAACACCCTGTGTATAAATTCAGTTTTCTCGAATACGAAACCTCCCGCGCGTTTCGAGCCACGGAATCCACCCGACCCGATTGCACCGTGAATTATGACTCGCTTTGGGCGCTGTAACGATAACGGTCGGTGAAAATAGCGCGTCGGTGGAAACGAATTAGCGCACGGCGAAATGATCGTCGTACCTATGGCCTTTAAAGCGGCCTGACTGACTGCGCCCGGGATCCGTGGCGGTACGATCTCCGGCAGAGTCTTTGGATACGCAATTTCCGCCATGCGACTGGTGATGATGTACGTGAGAGCGCTTTCGGGGACCGTGAAGGGATCCCTGACGTCCGGTAACTCTCTGATCAACGGCGTCGCCAACTCTTCGATCCTCCGCATGTTCACCGGCCTCCATTTCCTTCTTCTGCCCTGCAATTCACCGGCCCGTGTATCGATCACCGTCGTCGAAACGGTACCATTGTTACCGCGTCTTTTTCTATTCCGTCCCTACATGACGGAGCGCGGGTACGAGCACCGCGAGGAACGCTCGTTTTTCTCGTTCCCCTTTCACGACCCCGTTACGTTTCATCGACGTTCGCCGGCGAATCCGGATCGAACGCGGTTGATACCGCGTCGGAGGATCCCGTCAGCGTCGATCGAGAATCAACGGGGGCTTCCGTTTTCGCCTGGCCAGACCGGCCGGGCTAATAACTTAGAGACCCGCCCTTTTGTTTCTTTCTCTCGCCTATTCCGACTTTCGCCCATCAGGGTTGCATTTCGAGGACGCGGAACGAAAGAGACGCGTGCAGAATGAACCGCCATCTTCGTTAGTTTTCAGCAAATTTTTTAATACAAGCTCTCGCCATTTTGCCAATTTTTCTTCACCCGTTACGTAACGCGAATACGTGAGTTAGTACGTACGGGAAAGGTTGGTTTGGGCGGCACTTTGGGGGCAGCGAGTTTTTCCAAGAAGGCCACGTGTTGATCCCACTCTTCCGGTTTCACGGCTCTGCGTAGCCTGGCCATTATTTTGTTCCTGCAACGAGACCGCGTCACGCGATGGAGAATTAAACGGGGGGGTACGAAAATCGTGATCGAGACGTAACGTAATCGGTATAGCTTTCGATTAATTCGTTTCGACGAATGGACAGTTCCCGGGAGCAACGGGTAAACGAAAGAAGAGGGTACAAAGCGTACGGCGTAGGAAAGGGGGGGGGTGAAGGCGGCATGCGCTCCCGCTTGTTTGGCGAATTTCGAGACACCCTTGGGCACTATTAATAATTACATCTAGGGTACTCGTGTCTGCTAACTGTTCGCGAGTTGCATACAAAGTTCAACAGTAACGTTGGGTACCTATGAAAGTCGGCATGGAGAGTGGAAAGTCAATAGTCCGTTCTCGCTGAATGGCGCAAAATCGACGGGAAAGACGAATATTTGCGTTCCTGTGATAATTTTAAGCAGTATAATAAACCTGGTCGCTTTATTGGGTTTCGTAATACCCCGATCGATTCGTTGCGCGTCGATGCAGCTTCGTTATCGCTCGTGCAAAACGATCGATGGCGTACGCCATTTTAAATGGAATCTCTTTTAATTAGAAACTCACGACGATCGATGTAAATTAAAAATATTTTCCAGTCAACGGGTAGTATCTGTAGAAATAGTTGCAACGAGTTAATTTCTGGCACGAAGTCAGGAAATTCGCCGTCCCTGGCACACACGGAGCGTGAAACGCAGCGAATCACGATGCGAGCAGACAAACGCGTCCCGGTCTCGCGTTCGTCGTCTAAAAGAAAGACACCGTCGCTTCGCGATATCCAAATCCGACTTTACCAGATCGCATTTGCGAGCGCGAACCGTTCGAAAGACAATCCGATTACGTTCGTTCCCCGCGAGCCATTTTCCCGATTCCCATCGAAAGATCGACTTCTTTCCATCTGCCTCCTGCTCCTGTTTCTCCTCTCTGGAGAGGGGGCCAAAGAACCTCACGAGACTCCAACTCGTTTAATAATAGGTTGTAAGCTTTTCACGTTCAATCCCCTATTTCGTCTACGCTAAAGATGTTGATCCTTCTGAACAAAATTAAACTGCGTGGTCACTGATAAACACCAGCAGAGAGATCCATCCTAGACGCTGTACTTGGAAATTATTAATATCGTAATCCAAGGAGGGAACAAAGTATTTTGAAAGAATTGGTCTTTGGAACTTACTTCTTCCTCATTTCCCGCTGCTGTCTGGCGTTGCAAAAATATCGGTACTTCCGGTACCGGGAGTTCTGCACCTTCCACAGTAGCTCTGCTATGTTGGCCCTCGTTTGGAACCTCATGTTCGCCAGCAGCTGTCTGATCGAGGAACGTGCAATTCGTTAATCGTCGCTGGCGTTTAGTTCGACACCGAAAGAAAATCACCTCTTTTTTGGCAGAGCCAAGTCGACGATGCGTTTGCTGCTCTTGGCCTCGAGTGTTTTCGGGTGGATCCGCGGGTACGGCGGCGGTGCCAGTCTAGGAAGAAGCGAAACTAAGTTCCTTGGTGCAACGAACCTATTTGCTCGAAACGGTGAAACGATAGAGGGCGAGCGCGTAATTACTTACGCAGGATCGTATTTCTTGTTAAGGTGTTTCGGCCTCGCCATGACTTTGATTCGCTTCGAGGCGCGTGCTCGAAGGGCTGCGCGTCTGATGCCGAAAGGATTCGCCTGAAAATTAATATAGAAAATTAGAGAAATTGCACGCTTTTCCGCCAGACGATCTTGTAAGATATCGTTCCTCGCTGTCCTCGAACTTCAACCCTTTGCCAGACCTGCAAAAGTAGTTTGTAGTACTCGTTCTAGAAACACGGGGGAGTTATTTAGCCTTTTTACAAACGCCAGTCATTGTTAACCGTATTAATTCGTTTCGCGAACAATTGGAAATGCTTAATTGTTATTCGTTGCTCCGAGGCGATAAAGTAATGTTTTTTACTGCTACGCGTTTCACGGAGACGCGAAACTCTTGCGCGCAATCGCGACGATATAGACGGAATATTTTACGGTAAATTACTGTCACGCGCCCTGTTTCGATAAAGAAATTAAATTGGAGAGCCGGTAATAACTGCGTGGAAATTTGTTCGCCGTTAAAAAGGATTTAACGCGAACGGATTTCGAGGGGAAATTTTGGGTATACAACTATAAAAATAATTGTGTTTTTTTTCCCCTTATTTTCGTTGTTCGATCGGAATAATTTCTCGATGTTTGGTTCCGCCGCTGATGCTTGCATTTTTGTCCGGTGTAATCAATTTATTGGAAGACGAAGTGCAACGAGACAAATAATGAGAGAGCGCAATCGGATACCAATTATTTGGCGAAAAAATGTAATATCGAAGCATCGATAGTGCACGCGAAAGGAAATGGATTAATAAAGAGACTCGGCACGAGGGCTGGTTGCGTTAGATTTTAATCCCGGATCCCGGCACAACGGAATCAGGGCTTCAAAAAGTGTGAAAAGGTTCGTATTTTGCTTTGCGCGGCCGATCTTCCGCCAGGGGCAAAAATTGTATTCCGCGTTCTACGTCCACCCGCGCAAAAACCTAGTCGTTAAAAACGATTGTTCGACCGTAGTTTGTTTCACTGTTAATCCCAAAACCAAAACGGTATCGTGTATTTTAAATATAAATAAATAAACGTAAACTTTGGGGTGCATTCCACGTTAAAGGGTTGAAATATTACGCTAGGACCGCTCACCAGAAGGTTCAAATTCATTCTTTGGACCCTCCTCCAATTAGGCTGCGCCAGCAGAGTAATGTATTGCTTGTGGGACAAATGCGCCATGGCGTATTTGATCCTTTCCGCCAGCTTGTGCCCCATTTTTTCCACCGATTATTCCCCGTTATCAATTTCCTCGGGCACACGCGCCCTGGCCTCGATCCTGATTTTCTTCCCGCCCCTTTCGGATCCTTGCACTCCCAAACCTTTATTTATCCAGACGCTCGACTTCCAGCGGCGCGTTGCAGGTTGTTTAATTAAATTCACGTTTAATTAATTCGACGATCCGGGGTCCGATGGCGCGCTCGTTTAAAAACGACGAAGAAGAGGATAGGGCGGGAAGTTGAGAAATTGGGCCAACGACGTAATTTACCAGCGCGAAGCTTTCTTCTGCGTCTAACCCTTAATTTGGACGGCGATGCTGACCGTGGAACGCGTTCGAAATGGACTGACGGTGTTGCGAGACGCGAAACAAACGAACGCCGAAACCGATTATGGCTACGTTCACGCGAGCCCTATGAATCTCCTTTAACACGGAGGCTGTCGATTCCCCGATGCAGAGCTTTTCAGTATAGTGGACTGTAATAATGTAGGAACGCAGTTTCTCGAGACACGGGACCCCCTGACCCTATTCCGTGCCATTAATTTAGACTTTGTACGTAAACGATTCTCACCCTATTATAAAATCGAAATTAACAGCCGGCGTGTTCTCTTCGCCTGTAAATTTCACCGCTATTTTTGCGCCCGCGGTGCAATTTCGCGGAGTTCGGACAGGCCGGATCGACAAAGGAGGCAACGGCGGCGGTATTGTGCGACGAATCGCGTTCCCAGGCGAGAATTACCGCGGCGCGAAAATTATTTCGACCGATCCGCGGGACCGTGCAGCAGGGTGGCGGCAGGATAGGGAATTTTCAATTAATAGCAGGTACGGATACGCGGGATAAATACGGTATTCCCCAGGCGCGTGGCGCTCGGCTATTATTCCATGCCCAGAATCCAGCTTTATTTGTAGTGTCTGTGTCGCTGCAACGATCGCGGGGACGCGACAAAAACCCCGAACAAAATATGTACAATATCGAGCCGCGTGCGCGACAATTGCTCTCGGAACCTTTTGTCTCCTCTCGACGTTCCCGATGGTTAATGCAATTTTTTTTTTGTCCACCGTTGGGGGGAGAAAAAGCAGAGGCGAAGCCGTCGACCGCAAGAAAGGCGTAATTTCCGTGGACGATTCGGACTTTCGGTATCACAGACGAAATCTCTTCCAATGAAGATCTCTTGAGGGACATCCGGCCGGTTTTATTCGTTTTAATCCATCCGTCTACGAACATGGCCCACTCGCCAGATCCTCTCTGGTTGTCTCCTTTTTCGTCTCTTACTTTCTCCATTCCTCCAGCTACCGTGGCCTGCTATTCGCCACCCTTTTCCGCTATTGCTTTCCCCTTTCTACCTTCTATCCACCATCGCGCTTCCGTACTTCGTCAACCCCGCATGGGAAATCTCAAATACGAGTCTGTTTACCTGGCACTTGAAATCCCAGTGGATATCGATGATAAGGTTTTACTCCGGCTTCACCCCCCCCCCCCTGCTCTTCATCAACCCCCCTCCACGACCCCCCGACGACGTCTGATAACCGCACCTTACGAATTTAATGGCTACGCGATACACGCGATAAAGTTGGAAATACGTAGATCATGTTCGGCGGTGAGTTATGGTCGGAAACGCGTCGGAATTTCCACGACAGAAATCACCATTGGCCTTGCAACACCTTGGAAACCGAATTAACGCTCTGCAATATTAATCGTCGATACGGATTCGAAAATATTCTACCACCGAACGAAAGGGGGATGAAATTAGAAATATCGAACGAACGATTTGAAATTTCAGTAAAAAATTGTCGAGTATATTTTCCACGGTTCGGCATTTTTCTGTGTCTACAATACGAATACCGGTTGCTTGCAAGACTCGCTGAAATATGAGCCGCGAAAGAAATATCGCCCGATGGCGGAGCAAAAACCTACCCTCCGCGTCACCAGAAACATCAATCTCGAACGAATTCTTATTTAACGCGTGTCTCTGGGCGATCGTTTCGATGCTGGGATAAATAGAAAAATTTTAGTTAACGAATATTTCGCTTTGTTTGTCATCCGTTGGGTCTTCCTCGTTGCGGAGTTAGCAGTGTTTCCTGTTTGATTTAAATCGGACCACGGGCCAAATTAAACCATTTAGCGGGCCGTATGTAGCGCGTTTCGGCTCTAGACTATACTCGGTCAATCAGGCTATAAATCTGTTCCAAGCGAAGACAGAAAAAAAAATCTCCCTCTTTTTTTACCGAGCGAAATTGCTATAGAATTCTCTTCTACTTTCGCTGACACGATTGTTAGACTCGCCTGGTACGTACAACGTGAATTAAAATTGAATATTTCGAATATTCCAATAAAGTTGTCGGACAACACAGCCACGGTTGCAGAAAATTGTCAAAAGCAAAAGATTTAATTAAAATTTCTATTTTTCCGCAATATTATCCGACGCATCGAGGGGAAAATAAACGCAAAAGCAAAATTGCGACTTTATTGAATATCGATCGACGCATATCAAGAGGGGTTCCGTGGGAAACGTGAAAAATTTTTAAAAATTATCACCCGTTATCGAGCAAATTTATACCTGGCAATTAATTGAATACTCGAGCTATTAATTAAGATTAATTTTTTCGATATCCTTTGATTTATAACCGCGCCCGTTTGAGGCGCAGAAAAAAAAATGTTAAATGTTACGGACCGTTCAATTTTCCATTTAATTTTAACAGATACGTCTATCTTCGGGGAGGGGGCGGGTTTTTTAATCAGAGATTCAAAGGGATGCACAGACCGCGCCGGTGTAAGCAGAATTCGCGGTCCGCTTGTCCTAATCTATCTCTGAAAATGTTCTCGCATAAATAACCCGGTCGTACCTCTTCGCTCGTCGAAGGCGCGGAGGGAAATAAGTGGCGGTTTCCTGCGGGCGAGAAACGTCGGCCAAAGTCTCGAATATTTCTTCGTACTCGACACTCGCCCTCGACTCTACGCTACGACGTAATTTTTAATATCCGCCGACCGCGCCCGCGCATACGTTTCTATTATCTTGCTCGATAATTTACACGAGCGTTCCCCCCGCCCGTACGAATTCGAGATGGAAAATGTTGAAAGCGAGAGACGTGGCAACGAGTTCTCGAGTTACGGGAATTCATAGATACACGGTTGTGCCCTTACGTCTATCCATTCCAGCGGTGTTTAGCTTTCTAGACGTACTGTTTGGAAACGTCCATATAAATAAAACAAATTGCTGGTGGCTGGTGGATGTATTTCCGCGTATAATTGTGTCCATTTACGTTTCGACCATCTCTTGTGGCTCCCTTCAAATATTCCGCTACGGTATATTTACGTGTACCTGGCTATTTCATCTTCCGAGAATTTCGAACTCGTAGTGTATCAAACGAAAGCTGTGGAGTAATAAATATTTCTTACGGATCCGTTAATTTCCGCGTATAATACGAATATCCGTGATATAAAGAACCGACGAAAGTCTCGCGTTTCGAACCGTTACGCGCTACATCGCGTTTTAAAGTTGCCCAGGGAAAATATGCGCAAACTTACGAAATTACTTCATATATAAAATAAGGTTTTCCGTTCTCCAGTTGGTTTTCATAAGGTTAGCGGGGTAGAGGGGGCTCTGAAAGTAACAGAGTTAGGTTATAACACTGTTTGCAGTTTCCAAATTTCTCAACTTGTGTCGTTAGGTAGTGCCGTTAGGAAAATTACGGAGCGTGGTTCCCTCGAAGAAAAGTAATTTGCCAGTGTGAATTTGCTGGTCTGATAAAATTGCGCTTTCGTGCAGTTCGTAAAGCGTAAGTGTTCATCGGGGCTAGTAACTTTTATTGTTCATCGTCGACTTTGATATCAAGGGGGGGGGGAAAAAAGAAAGCTCTCGATGTACGCTTTGCGGGGCACATCCCGTGTATACATGGAGATTTTCATATTTTCATGCGACGTGGATTAAAAATTCAAAAATGCCACGCCGCCTTTGATCGCGTTTCAAGGCGATTTCTCGAGGAGTTAAATGAGACACCATAAACCGTCGGTGCTCCCTATATTACGAAGTATTTAATATGCAACCGGAGAGCCAGCTAATTTTCGGTCGACGGGTTATCGTTGCTTTGACACGGTAAATTTCGGAGACCGGACTTGCGAGTACTGCATCCGGTTCTTGCTCGTACGCGGAACGCGTGTAACGATATTTAATCCCTGGTCTCGACGTATCGAGCTTCCGCTAACAACCTGCTGGCTGCTTTTACACGCGTTCCAATGAACTTTCGTGCATCGTGCCTCTCTTTCGCCTTTTTTCCCCCTGCATTTCCGCAGCAGTCGGGCGAGCGCAAATGAGGCTCAAACATTCTACCCTGATTACGATAACAAGGTAAAACGATGATAACGCGACCTACCGATGTCGAAGAGTTAACTAGTAGCTGTCATCGGACCCCAGCTACTCGCAAATAACGAACAATGGCCGTTTGAAAGAAGAATAAAGATCTGTATGCATCGGAGCAGTGCTTTTTAAATTATACGCCGCGAGCCTCGGGCGGGGTTGCTTTAAAATTCTTTGGGGGCCGCAAAAAATGGAATTGGAAATCATAAAATACGAGTTTTATTACTTACAAATACGCGTTGGAAATTAACGGTGAGGCATCTTTGTTTCAAATCATAAAAATATTTAATAATGTTACTAAAATTGGAAAATTACCAACGACGGATATTTACGAGTTTTCGAGCAATTCAGCAAAATTTTACCTCGAAAAGCTTAAGTCGCTGCGAAAGTTACGGGCCGGAGAGAGGAACGGATTCGTTCGAGCTTCATTTTCTCGAAACAACCAAAACGATCTTGCAGTTTTTTTTTTTTCCCCGGGTATGCCGTTTGTAATGGCTGCCTGGATATAGCTCCGCGCCCGGTAGTATTTGAAAACCTTGAATGTTTTATTCTCTCGTAACAGGCTGAATGGATTTCAAAGTCTCGCGAATTTCCAGGATCTCGACAAGTCTTGAGAGCCTCGAAACGTTGAAATTTCTTAAGAG